TGGACCCAATAAGCAAATCACAAAAGCTGTTATTTTTGAACTACCATAATTTCTTCTACAGACAACAAACAACAAAATACTCTGCTAACCCTGTAGTTTAGACTTGTACAAACATGTCCAGAAATGTGATTCTTGTATTATTTTGTCAGTTCATATTTCAGCCTTTTTGTCAATTCCTCTAATCGCAATTGGATATTTTCCCAAGTTGTTTAGTCTAGTCTAGATTCTATGAACAGAATAGGAAGAGTCTTGGCTTGCCCGGCTACAGGGGCAGTGTAGTATTTGTGTAGTGACTCGTACCCGACTGTGTGAATAAAACATGATAAACAATAATAATAACCACAGCTAATCTTTGTTTCAGTGACTCTGGGACGTTTCTGGGTTTGGGGACAGTGACTGGATCTGTTGCTATTTACATCACCTTTTCTCTACAGGTAACAATTCTCTAACCACATCTGTATTTTAAATATGTAAAGGTTTTATTGCAAGATTTTGGGCATCACAATATTCTATAGGCTTATAATATTTAATACAAACGGGTAAACTTATTGTTGTTAATTGTCTTTTCTACAGTCACTACAATTATTTTGTTTTGTATATTGTTTTGACATTTTGCAAGTGAAATGCCATGTGTTCAAAACAGTGATCAAAGCGAAGGGTGGCTATTTAAAAAAATCAGAAACATGTTTTGAGTTATTTTGAGTAAAATTTTGTAATACATTCTATTTGTGTTTGTTCATTGTTTTAATGCCTTCAGCGTGAATCTACAGTGGAAATAATCATGGGAATAAAGAATAAACATGAATGAAAAAAACTTACTGGTAGTTTAAAAGACATAAAATAAGAAAAATATGACCTCGTACAAATTCCAATACCATCTGCCATGACTCGTCACAATCTTATCTGGTCACTTTTTTTTGTTCTTAGATCAGTTTTTGACCTTGAACTTGTTTAACCCTCTTGTCTGTTGTTGCCCCCTCTGCTCTTTCTGTAGAAGCTGTATTATATTCAGGAGTCTCATGGGATTGTGGTCACAGACTTGGCCTTCCTGCCAGACTCGCCCCGGGGAAGACAGCTGAGGGGGAACCACAAGGCGGCCATGATGAGTGTGGCCGTGGACAGCCGCTGCCAAGTGCACACGCTCAGCAACCGCAGTGAGTTTTCAGTACAGTTTGGCTGAAGAGTTATAATCTTTATAAAAACTAATATCGAAACTAGATATTTGATCAAAACATGTTTAACCGTCGTGTTAAAATAATCACAACTGTCATTCTTCGTGATTAACATGTACACCAAGAATACCACAATATTTTTATGCAGTACAGATTTGTGTTCAACTTTTTTATATCAATATCTTCATTTACTTCTGCCTTAATCATACACACCAAATAAGTCTGTGCAATTAATCGAATTTTGATCACAATTTCAATTTGTGTGTCAAACGATCTCCAAACTCATATAATTGAGCTGAAACGATAAAATTGAACAAAGTTTATTTTGGGATATTTTTTATATAAATAAGTATATTTATTTTATTTTTTGTAGAACAGCTACATAGATATATTGTTTATTTTTGATACATTTATGGTTTTCTGAGCCTTATTTCATGTTCAATGTATATTTTATATTTATTTGTTTTATACATTGCAAAACTGCTCTGAGGTTCATATTTGTAGCCTATATTTATTTTCAATTTGACAGTTTTTGCGTAAATGATCAATAACAAAATGGTGTTGTTGTTTTGTTTGAGGGAGAGAAATGCTGAATAAATGCATCATGTAACTAAAAAATAATCATTTGAATAACCACAATTTCAGTATTGACCAAAATAATCCTGATAATTATTTTTCCCATAATCGAGCAGCCCTAATACCAAATAATACGTAATGTTTTGAAATTTGAACCCCTTAAATGCCAAAAGTATAAAATTATGTGCATGAAAAAAAAAAAATCTATATCTTTCAATTAATTTTAATTTGTTTGTGCTGGGGTTATCAGAGGTTGGGGATGTCCTAAAACAGTGCCAGCAGTGGTTTGGTTTGGTTTCTGTCTCCATGGTAACTGCTTACCATTCCACCATAGAGTTACGTGTAGTATCAAGTACTTTTTTATTTTTTTTATTTTTTATGTTAATTAAGGACATCACAATTGCATTATACAATCTAGATGCGTTTCTTTGAGTGTTTTCTAGTTTTCAACACCTGTCCGTAGAAAAAATATAAGATACCTGCGTAAAAACAGATAAGACACATACATAGTTACATACAGATAAGAAAATATTTTGCATTATTACATTTTCAGTGAGAACATTTTTGGTTGGAAACATGCCATAAACTTTGCACAAATGTTTTTACTTGCTCTAACTGACTGAACCGTGACCGTGTGTTTGTTTCAGGGTCGTGTCTGGTGTGACTGGTGCTGGTCTCCTGTGGTCTGATGGACGTGATGGTGATTCTGCTCCTTCAGAACCTGTTTCCCAGGTTCCTCTGATCCTCCGTCCAACTGAAAGACTTGAAATCCTCTTAAAGAAAATACACGTATATAAAAACAGCACAGACATCTCACACCACTGGGAAAAGGAACGATCCGCTTAAATGGCTTGAATTCTGGGTTTTTCGCTTAATTTTAGTAGTTTTAGTCAATTTGGCGTCACGTTATAATGACTAAACCTGAATAAACCATGCACAAAGACACGATAGAATACATAAATTAACAAACAGCTGATGAAAATGCTCCTCAACGTCAAGATGAGTCAGCTTAGAAGGCTCTGACATCTGTTCTTGATTCCTACTGGACGTCCCAGCAGGAAGATGAAGACCCAGGGCACGCCGGAGGGACTATGGCCGTGTCTCATTTCTCTTTCCTCGCTTCCTCCTCATCGATTCCTCTCCTCAAGCCTCCATTTTTCACCTTTTAATCAAGTGACATCCCGAAGAAAACCACAGAAGGAAGGAAGGAGTGAACACGAGCGAGACTTCAGGAGGCAAACGTCGGATAAAAGAATCAAACTTTATTGGTCGTATGAGGAGTTTTTATCCTCTCTCCTTCATTATCATCATCACTTTCATAAAACCATAGACTGTATATATGAGTGGACAGATCTAACGCTGTAGCCACCATGTGCCAAATAGAAAGTTCTCCAGGAGGCTCTTCTGGCTCCTTCTGACTCTGGCTCTGACTTACTTTAGGACCTTGTGGCTCCTCTCTCTGTACCTGCTGCTGTGAACCTCGACATTTTGGTCTTAAAATGTTTATATGAACCCGCTCTACATGATCCTGAATTTGTTTTTGTTTTTTTGCTAGTTTGTCCGTCAAAAAAATCCTATTCATAATATAGAGTCTGGCTCCAGATTTGCTCCTGTAACAGTGAACATCTCAAGCTTCATTTGAGCGGTGCTGAACTCTGTGGGTCACACTCACTTAGTCCACTTCTTTTATACAGTCTATGCAACAACACGGCTTGGGAATCATCATCATTCTGGCACTGGCTGCTGCACTGACACATGTCGGTACAGGCTAAAGTTTTAGTTTCTGGTGTGCAGTTCTACAGTCACCTTTGTATTTGGCAGTGAACCGTGGACCTGGACCCTGGGCCTTCACTAGGACCAATTTCTGGCCATCATGACATATACATACATATATATATTAGTGCTGTCATGCGATAAAAAAAAATTGAGAGATTAATTAATTATGATCTGTAATTAATTAATCGAATTAATCTCATTCTCTCTGAAGTTATTCAGATAATTCTAGTGAAGGTGTATGGAGTTTAAAAACACAACAGAGCACTTCCTGTATTGGTGCATGACATCACAAGAAGCCTGAACTGGTAGACAGTAGCCCAGTTGGTAAAGTGTATATCCACTGATGTGAAAGTTGGCCATTCGAATCTCGCTCTTGACATAAACATCATTGGTTGAGCAGTCCACTGCGATCCACTGACCCACAGTGTGGCTGGTGTGATTCCAGCTCCCACAGATGAATGCTGCCGTTGTGTCCTTGGGCAAGACACTTAACCCATCTCTCCCCCAGTGTCTGCGTACATTGGTGTATGAATGGGTGAGTGTTTCCTTGACGTAAAGTGCTTCGAGTGCCATGAAGGTGGAAAAGTGCTTTATAAAAATGTGACCATCTACTAATTCAATTTGCAGGATTTGGTGTTGAACATGCATGAATGAAACAAAACACAATTTCAGCTAAGTTTGCGATGAGGAAAAACATTATAACATAGATCAGAAAATCATGTAATATAATAATAGGACCTCATTTCCTAGTGAGCCAGAGTGTTGGAGACGTGTGGAGACACTTTTTCAAATATTCCATCCAGTCCTTGTATTTGCAGAGGTCACTGGTGCTAGGCTAGTGCATGTCAATGGCCATAGTTATCCTGCCACTAAAAACAGTCTTACCCACTCCACAAAACACCCAAAGAAAATCTATTATTACGCAAGACTTGATGTAAATATCTGTGTTGATAAAATAATTTTAGAAGTAAAGCCAACCTTGCATTTGAAGGATTTATGTCTGAGCAGCAGCAGTGAGTTTAACTTCCTGATAGAAAGTTCGGCTGCGGCGGACTGATATGAGATATGAGAAAATAGTCAACATGCGACGATTCATGCGGTGTAAGGTTAGTTTTATTTCAAACATTATTCTGTCAACACAGATATTTACATGGACAGTCTGGTGTAATAATAGATTTGTTTCGGGTGTTTTGTGGAGTGGGTAAGACCTAGACCTAGCACCAGTGACCTCTGCAAATACAAGGACTGGATGGAATATTTTTTTAAAGTGTCTCCACACATCTCCAACACTCTGGCTCACTAGGAAATGAGGTCCTATGTCCAAAATTCCGGACTGTCATTGTAACTTAAGTAAAAAAAAAAAAAAAAATGAACACGATTCAATAAACACAATCAAAAACAACACTGAAATAGGCTCTATTCACGCTTACGTCACAAAACATGAATAGAGCCTATAGTCCATGATATCTGTCCCTTTCAACAGTTCTTGGCACTGCCCTTCCACACACCCACTCCCCCCGCTGTGGTCCCCGCTCCAGTGAGGGGACACTCCAGACCCCTCAGCCACTCGGTGCACTTGAGCGCCACCCTCTGGTCCAGGCCGTACTGCTCCTCCTCATACTCCACGTCGTCGTACTTGTGCCGGTCGTTGAGCAGGGAGATCTTGAGGATGGAGCGCAGGTCTATGTCTGGCTCCTCTACGCCCCTCTTTGGGCTGAGTCTGCTCTGGGCGGGTGGGGGGCGCTTTTGCCGTCTGTGATAGAAGATTTTACATTTTTAGAAGTTTATATTAGCATTCAGAGCATAGACTGTAAAAAGAAGTGGACTAAGGAAGTGTGATGTCACCCATAGGTGGTGGTTATTGATACTTTGCAGCTAATGTCATGAACATTCCCTGGGGTTGAAGCTAACTAAAAGCACTACTCTTAGGATGACCAGATTTTCAAAATATAAACCTTTGGACACGCCCAGTTTGGGTTGGTGGGTAATAATAAAATTGTCAAACGAGTGTCTAATTATAGAAAATTGTTATGTACATGTAAATAAAATGTAAAATGTGTGAATCATTATGGTCAGAATAGAAAGAATTAAGATTTAAGAGTGCTAAATAACTGTCATGTAGTCTGCACTGAAATGGAAGGATCATGTTCTGTGTAGTTCCCTGTTTTACTGTATTGTACTGTATATTACTGTAGTACATTTGATGACACATCACAGTACTTCAGTTACATCCAAAGTAACAAACAGAGAAGTGGGAGGGGCATGTTCCAGTTTGTTCCTGTAAAATTAAACGCCACATTTATCAACTGTAAAGAGAAAAGTATTTTCTAAGTATCAAGTTTTCTCAAGTCACAGGTCTCAAGTCCGAGTCAAGTCCCAAGTCTTAGTCCACTGTATCCAGTCAAGTCTCATATCCTAAAAATAGTGATAGTGACTCAAGTCTGACTCGGGTCCAAGTCCAGGTACCACCTATAGTACCTGCGGTAAATAGGTACCTTATTACCTCCGCCAAGGAGGTTATGTTTTTGCCGGTGTTTGTCTGTTTGTTTGTTTGTTTGTCTTTTAGCAACATAACTCAAAAAGTTATGGACCGATTTTGATGAAATTTTCAGGATTTGTTGGAAATGTGAAAAGGAAGAACTGATTTCATTTTGGGAGTCATCCGGAAGAAATCCTGGATTCTGGATCACTTTGAAATTTTAGTTAACATTGTGGTAAATGGGGCCAAAAATTTTGTTTCTCAATATCTCGGTTAATTATTGACCAAACCCCATGAAATTTGACTCAGGGATGGACAATGGGATCCTCTTTCATATTCCAAAGGCTGATCCGGATCTGATCCAGAAGATTGATTTTATCGCAATTTATATAAAAAATGGGGGTAGTCCTTGGCGGAGGTCTGCGCTCTCTGACTGCTTTTCTAGTTCAAATGAGAGTTTGTGGGAAAAAAATAAATCAATATCACTAACTACATCCTCTCTGGTTCTGTAAGTAAATTTTCTATCTATCCAATCGCTACAGGTGAAAAAATGTAATTCAATTGGACAGTAGCCTTAAAACCGAGGTGAAAGAAAGCTGAGAAGTTGCTGTTTAACTGGCTTACAGCTGATATCAAGTCAACATCTTTTCTCTGTGCATACAGGAACCGAGACCTAACATAGCCGCTCACCCGTTTGGCCTGGCCTCGGTCACTCCTCCGCAGCAGGATCTGGTAGGCTTCTGGGTGCTCCTCCTCTGCAAAAGGAGCACTGCCTCTGGGGTGAGGGTCAGGGTGAAGTGGGCCTCCTCCTCCTCCTCTTCTTCTGTCTGACCCTTGAGCCTGGACCTCACAGCCTTCACACTGCCCTGGGAGGGAGTGATCGGTACAGCTGGGGACAACACAAGTGCATGTTTAATGAGCCCATATTACACCATTTTATTCTCTGTGTTATAATGTTGAGTCCTCATCAAACACGTAGCCTACTTTTGCCTAATGGTAGCGACGCCTCTGACCATGTTGCTTTTTATTGTTTTGAAAATGCTATATTTGACGAAAACAACAACTTAACATACATTACATCCATTCACTCTCCGCGCTAAGTCACTCCCCCTTCAGAGCGCTATCACAACACAACCAGCATGTATCCCACTGATGAAACTACTGGACGTTGTTATGAAAATGCTATATTCACCCAAAACAACCTCTCACCTGGCCTTGTGGCGTTGCCGTTGTCTGCTGGTTTGGTCCCTTTGGTCTTGTCCCTCCTCCTGCCCTCCGCACCTCCTTTGCCCGCTCCCCCGCTCCTCCTCTGCTCCATCTTCCCCATGTTCTTCAGGTTGATGGTGATCCTCTCCTTGACCGAGCCACCCCTCTCCTCTCTGCTCAGCCTGTTCACAGAGGACGCTGACGAAACACTCTCCTTCCCCGTCAAACCGGAGACAGAGCGCGCTATGGACACCGGAGGCATGAACGGCATCTTGGGAGCACAGAGAAAAAGAATGTGAGTAAACTAGTCTTTTGATGTCATGTTGTAATAAAGGAAGCGCTCCACTGTGTTTTTTAAACTCCAGACACCTTCACTAGAATCATTTGGATCAATTCAGTCCCAATGTGGTATAGGATGTTGACCTCGTGGTGAGGTGACCCCGGGGTCAGAATCCTATATTATGGAATATTGACCCCCCCTATGAAAATCTATATTTTATTAATAAAGAACTTGAATTATATAGGAAAACTGTGAATATTAATACTATATCTGCAAATGAAAACATATTGACATATTTAAAATTGTTTTTTGAAGAACTCAGATGCATTTTTTATGTCAATTATAACTTCTGAATGTTAAAAAATTAGTTGTTTAAACACATATTTTACTGAAAATGAGATAAGTAGTTATTAATTAGTTAGATAATCAAAGTGATGTATAATGATTTTGAATCTTGTTTAAATAGACAGGGCTGATCAATTGAGCAGTTAAATAGGGGAAACCTATGACCATAGTAATCTGACCCCCCAATATGTTTATTATAGTTATGATGATGTAAAGCAAGAAGTAATGTTAGTTGAATATTGACAATGATCAATTATATATATACTTGATCAATTATATATACACTGTCTTACACCAGAATTCCCAATCTCTACTGAACAAAAGGTAAAACATAGACGTTAACTTGAAAACTACTGCTTCGTGAAATCACAAGGTGTAACAGGGCATTTTGAGCTTTGGAGATGTAAAGAGACTAATACGTGTGAATGAAACAAAACCAGCAGGTATGTTTGTGATGTCTATCATGACTTAAAACTCATAAAAGTCCATTTTCCATAATATAGAACAGGGGTGTCAAACATACGGCGCAGGGGGCCGGATCTGGCCCTCCAAGACCTTTAATCTGGCCCTCGGCTGATTTTCTACTAAAATATTTGAATTATATTTTCTATTAAAATATTGGTAATTTTCTGCTGTGTTTATCACAGCAGCATCTCCAACATCTCTGTACATGGCCCCTCCCACCAGAGCAGCACAAATGAAGACTTGTCTCTTTCCAAACGCTCTTAAAGGACGATCGTTTTGACTGTTGACTGTGACACCCTCATCAGCAAAATATCAAAAATGAGAAAAGTGGACACCGAGTGCAGGATTTTCCAAGAAAAATTGACTTATTCCTATTTATATACAAGTTAATGTTAAAACATTGTGTTGAAATTGCATTTTTCTTAAAGTTTCAGGTTGTTCATAATATTTTAATATTTTGTAAAATATAGAGTTCATCAATTAAAAAAGATTTCTGTAACAGATTTGCATTTCGCTGCACAAATATTTGAACTTATTGCTGTTTTTAGGGTATATATGCCATGAGTCAAAGTAGATTGGATATGGCCCCCGGACCAAAATGAGTTTGACACCCCTGATATAGAACCTTTAAGTAAAACTATAAAAAGTAAAAAGTACATATGGGTTGGAACAATTTGGACCTGTACAGTACTCAGTAACTTTTCAAATTTGAACCCCACAAATCTACTTAATTACAGTCACATGAGTATTTCTACTTACTTTCCATCCTGAGTAAAAGTTTGGTGCTACAAAACTATTCCAAAAAGTACAAGTAGTAAAACTGAAAGCAACAGGATACTACCCACCTTGGTTAATTCCAGTTGAAAATACACAAAAAATCCTGGAAGTACTTAGCAGGTGGAGTTGTGTTGAGCATCCTCCCTGCACGTGCTGTCTGTGGCTCGAGTGGATGTTCAGGTGCATATTATGGGATGGAGGGACAGAAGAGGGAGTGGCATAAGTTAGCGACAAGGCTCAAAGATCTAAAATAACCTGCGCACATGCTAATCCACTGGCCTGTCAAAGCAGAGAGCACGAGAGTCACATGCAGATAATCCTCACCAGGTACTTAAAGTAACACTGCGGAACTTTCTGGGGGCGCCACATCACCTGCACAAAAGCATCGATATTTAGTATATGGTGCAATAACTGCTCACACATAACATATTTAGCTCACTGTTACCTTTTTTTTTTTTTTGTTAACATGTTTTGTAAGTCTCGCCTCCCTTTACTCTCCGCACTTATTTGCTCCCCTTCAGAGCACTATCACAACACAATCGGCATGCGTTCCTCTAATGAAACTACTGCACATTGCATCAGGTTTGTCAAGTTGCTGTCCACAGTTTCGTGTCATGTTTTTGTATATTTCATTATGGAGTATTGTCGTGTGGGAGAATGGGTGGCGTACGCTTGTGGGTGGAGTCCTGTACAGAATATTACAGCTAACCATAAGGAGGGTTTGAAAAGGGCCCAGGAGAGATAATGAAAATACTAAAATAACATGCATGGATGACTGTAAAACCTCTTCTGTTTATGATAACAGAACAATGTTACAAAAAAAAAAGTTTGCCTAATACCCCCTCTTTAAGTAAGAAGCAGGTTTGTGGAGATACAAGCATAATACCCCCCATTCAAATAAATTTCAATAAAACATAATAAAAATAATCAAAAAATGAACTTGTTTCTCACATTCTTCACATTCTGGTTTTGAAAGTATTTGCAATTTGAAGGATTTTATTTGTATAAATCCATAGTTTATTTAAAAACATGCCCACAACTTGGTGTGAGCGGGCTTGCATCTCCACAAACCTGACTCTTACTTAGCCTAAAGTTGGGTCTCTGCCTGCTTGTTTCCTTACAAATGTTCTTTTGGCAATGACCTTCCACTGTATGGTTTTAAACTTTGTGTTGTATTTCTATGGAATCATGCAAAGTTACGCAGTGTTACATACATGACTGGTAATTTCTGTTATATGTTTGTTTTTAATCATCTGTAGAAATGAAATACTCCAGAATTTAGTGTCTAATTTTTTTCTGATTCATCTCCTGTGCCTCACCTGAGTCAGAGACGACTGTATGAAAATAGAACATTTATTATTTTGTTACAGCTCATAAAACTCTTAAAACATCCAAACATAAAACAGCCCTGGTCTTTTCCTGTGTGCAGTGTTGGCTCCCTGTGGTGGCAGCAGAGGGCAGTGCGCTCAGTCTCAGCAGCACTTCTTGTGCACATGCAGCACTCGTCTGCAGCGCGGGCACGTGTGGTACGCGTCTTTAAAGTAGTCCACCAGCAGGGGGATCAAACAGCAACCCAGCACAAACCTGCAGCAAAAACAAATATCACAACAAAATAGTACAGAACTCCATACTGCATGTGTGTGCTTTTACTGATTAAAAATATCAGAACTGAACCTGTGTTGCCAGAGCCTTAAAGGACTTAAAGGACATGTGCAAGTTTGCTTCATTCTCAGTACAGTCCCTGACAAAAGTCTTGTCGCTTTTCCATTTTGTAGAAACAAAAGCTTATAACCTGACTTTAAATTAATCGATTGGTTTTAGAAATGTCTCATATGAAAGCTAAAACCCTCCCAAATTATGCTCAATATACTAAAATAAATTTGCTTCACTGAAGAAAGATTGATCATTTAATGAACACAGAAAGGTCAGATTTTGGCAAAACAAAAGTCTTGTCGCCTTGTCATATGATGCACCCAATCCTAGATTACAGCCTCACCTGTGATCAGTTACTGATCAATCAATTAGTGGATGTGTATAAAAAGAACCCCAGCACACCAGACCTTCACATCAACTGCAACTTGACCTCTGACAACATGCCTAAGATCCACCCTGAGACCAAAGCGTTAATTATCAAGAGGCTGAAGACCAGATCCACTGCTGAGGTGGTGACACCTTCAATGTGTCTCAGCGTCAAGTACAAAGAATAAGAAAAAGATCTGAAATGACTGGAGATGTTTTTGACAAGCCCAGGTCCAGTAGACCCCGCAAGACAACTGCTCGGGAGGACCGTTTGTTGATTTGAAAATCCAAGGCCAGCCCCTTTTCCACTGCAGCAGACTCCACCAGGCCTGGTCACCTCAAGTCCCTGTGTCAACCACAACAGTTTGTAGAATTCTGTCTCGAAATGGCCTCCATGGTCGAATCAGTGCACAGAAACCAGCACTAAACAAAAGGCAATTAAAAAACCGCGTGGCATTTGCCAAGGCCCACAGCCTGCTAAAAGGATGGACACTGGAAAAGTGGCAGAAGGTGGATTTCTCAGATGAATCCTCGGTTGAATTATATCACAGCCGCCGCAAATATTGCAGGAGACCTACTGGAGCCCGCATGGATCCAAGATTCACCCAGAAAACAGTTAAATTTGGCGGCGGAAAAATCATGGTCTGGGGTTCCATCCAGTATGGGGGTGTGCGAGACATTTGCAGGGTGGAAGGCAATATCAATATCCTAAAATATCAAGTAGTATTAGCTCCTCTTACATTCCCAACCATAAAAGGGGTCAAATTTTGCAGCAGGATGGTGCTCCATCGCATACTTCTATCTCTACATCAAAGTTTCTCAAGGCGAAGAAGATCAAGGTGCTCCAGGACTGGCCAGCCCAGTCACCAGACATGAACATCATTGAGCATGTCTGGGGTAGAATGAAAGAGGAAGCATGGAAGGCAAAACTAAAGAATCCTGATGAACTCTGGGAGGCATGTAAGACGCTTTCTTTGCTATTCCTGATGACTTCATCAACAAATTGTATGAATCATTGTTGAACCGCATGGATGCGTCCTTCAAGCTCATGGAAGTCATACAAGATATTAAATATGGATCTCACAGCACCACTACTTCATTCACTGACGTTATGCAACATATTTTTGTATTTGAAGTAAATTATTTGTTAAATTTTCTGTAGGCGAAAAAACTTTTGTCTTGCCAAAATCTGACCTTTCTGTGTTCGTTAAATGATCAATCTTTCTTCAGTGAAGCAAATTTATTTTAGTATATTGAGCATAATTTGGGAGGGTTTTAGCTTTCATATGAGACATTTCTAAAACCAATCGATTAATTTAAAGTCAGGTTATAAGCTTTTGTTTCTACAAAATGGATAAGCGACAGGATTTTGTCAGGGACTGTATATGGACAGATTATGCCTCATGTGAAAGTTCAGAACCTCCAGATTCCCTCACTGAGCTGCAGAGGCTGTACTAGCACCGATTCATGATTGGCTGCAGGTTCTGGGGTTTAAGTAGTGACCATTCAGATCACAGAGAGGCATTTTACATTTAAACCAACTGGATTTCAGCACTGAAACTGGAAATTCTGCTTCTCATTCTGCTTTCTAATTTGATCATCTTGAGAACTAAAACACCAAATTAAAACAACTCTGCCATCAGGTCCATTCTTTTTGTGATTAAGAATTAATCAATATTACATTTATTGTTACTAAAATTCAAATTTAATTTGAGCATTTACCTCATATCTGGGGACACACATAGCTCATGAATGTGAAAATGGAAATGGAACATCTAAAGCAAAGCAACATCTCCATAGAGACAAGAGGTGGCAAGCTTATCAGAAAAGTTAGTGCACCTTTAAAGCGAGGAAGTGACTCACCCATTCCCACACACCTTCATACACTGCTGTGCACAGATATAGTGTATAACACCCTCTCTATCCTCACACTCACCCAAAGAGTGCAAGAGTGACACACAGGCTCCATGCCAGTGCCCCAGCCCTGTAGGTGACCCTGGTGGTGACTTGGAGTTGGCAGGATGGGCACGTGGTCACACCAGGGCTATGGCACAGCACTGACTCATGACAGACAAATTTAGGCGTTGCAGGAGTCCCCGGAGGTACAGGTTCTGGAGACAAGTCATACAGAAAACTGGTGAAATATACAGTAAATATACAAATGTACACTTTAAAAGAGGGGGTATTCTGCTAAATCTTGTTTTTTAATAGCTTTCTGTCACATTATAATTTCATTCACTCATCCAAAACATGTCTAAAGAAGTTTTAGATGAAATCCATGCATGTTTGAGTAATTCAGTGATCTCTCCCAGGCCCGTATTCGAACCCACCTCATAGTTAGCTGTAAGATTCTGTGCAATGCTCCGCCCACAAGCCTGTGTTACCCATATATATTGTCATTCTACAAGCCTTCAGTCACCACATTTCAGCCTTTATTTGGTAAATGATGTTTTTAAAAAGCAGGGTGGAAAGTAACTAAAAATACTCCATCTACTGTAATAGAGTAGATTTTTGCGATAATTGTACTTTTTTGAGTAAATTTTAAACCAGTATGTGTAATTGAGCAGAATTCTAGCCATAGAATTGTAATTAGTTGCATCTATACAATTACTGAGTGCTGCACAAGTACCGATAGTCCCGATCTATGAGTGTCTAACACCTGCTCCTTTGTAAATCTACAAACTCACAAACTGCATCGTCTGCTCTGATTAGACAGAACAATACAGATTGGTTTAAAATGATTTTTAAAATTCAGCTTTAAACTGTTTTATTTATATAGAATGCTGATGTGATGTAAAATACAGATAAAAATCTGTTAACAAGTAACTAGTACTCGAAGTAGTATTTTTCATGTGGACTTTTTACTTAAATACAATTTTGGAAGCAGGCCTTGTAACTGTACTTTTACTTGAGTACAAATTGCAGTACACCACTGTCAATAATACACTTAAATTGTAAATATTGTATATCTACAAACTACAAACATTCACCATTTCACATTTTCAACATTAATTTGGTAGATATATTTTACAAGTCTCAAAGTAGAATAAGAATAATTGTTTGAATATAGTCAGCGAATTGAAAAATGTATTGACAACAAGTCGATTACTAAAGTAACTGTTAGTTGTCTACTAAATATGATCAATAAAATACTATAGGAAATGATGCAGTGTGTTACCTGGTAGTGATGATTGAGCAAATGAAAAGCCGGGAGGAGGAAGAGGAGGAGGAAGAGAAGGAAGAGGAGGAGGGCTAAACGCAGTCTGGATATTGTAGATTCGTGCCCCGTGTCCAAGCTGGCTCTCATCTGCCCGACATCAAACATACAGTGACTTATCTTCAGATTGTGTCAGATTGTGGAACACTCAAGTAAAAGTTTCAGCTACTATGCAACTTTTCTGGAGGAGCTATAAAACCCATCTCTAATTAGATATAAAAAATAAAGTAGAGCTGTTTAATGTCATACTGTGGAACATTCCAGGCAGAGCAATGACATCTCCATGGAAACAAGCAAGTGACAGACCCACAAACAAAGCATCACTAAGTGCACATAAGTAAAAGTATTTAAAGCACCCTCTCAAAAATATACTTAAAGAGTAAAAAGTAAAAGTATTTTGCACAGAATTTTATATCTAATAAAGCTTCGAATGTGATTTTGATACATTTTTTTAATTATAATTTTTTTTATTTGTGCAAAATTTTGCTCAGCTGAAACAAGTGAATCAGTTGTTTTTTCCTAGCTGTTTTTCTTTGTATGTTTTTGTTTGCTCAAACTATGAACACGTTAAAAATAAACGCCTCAGTTTTTTCAGCACATCTCAAACAATAAGAAAAAAAATACTTGTACTTTTCAGCCCAGTTCAAAAACGAAGTAAAGTAGAAAGTACAGATACGTGTTCTCAAATGTAGTGAAGTGAAAGTGTCTACTTCTATCTACTCAGTCTACTTAAAAAAAAATACAGATACCTAAAATTAATACCTAATTCAATACTTAAGTTCAGTACTTTATTACACTTTCTTTGATACTTTCCAACACTGCAGATAGAAACTCTGTACCTTGGATGATGTAAGAGGGTGGGGTGGGCAGAGGCTCATCCAGTCTACTCTCCATGGAGCCGCTGAGTGGACACAGAAGCTGTGAGGCTGGAGACAGGTGCGCTAATGAAGCTCAACTCTGATTGGTCCAAGCTCTCGACACCAGCCTATTAGAGAAAAGCACCTGCAAACTCAAAAAAAAATAAAAAATTAATTAACAGAAATGGTAGAAGAAAATGATGAATGGTAATCAAACAGAACAAATAGACTTGGTATATGTAAAAAGACAAATAAAATTTAAAAGTCTTGTACTAAATTGACTCTTGTGAGCTTTGAGCCATGTTAGAATATTGTTATTTCCTCAAAAACATACCTGGAGTTGTGTTTCATTTCATTCATGCATGTTTGAGTAATCCTGTATTATCAGTCTGTCATCATCTCCAAAGCTCAAAATGCTCGGTTCCACCTTGTGATGTCACGCAGTGGTAGTTTTCAAGTTAAATGCTACTTTTTTACCTTAAGCTCAGTAGAGATTGGCAATTCCAGATCTGAAATAATTTAAATGATTTTAGTGATATTGTCTGGAGTGCAAAAACAAAATGATCACTTAATATATTACCACATGACATCACAAGATGGAACTGTCACATTTGCCATGCCCCCTTTTAGTCGACTAATCACTTGGCAGGACATGTCTTTGGTCGACCAAGATTGTCTTTAGTCTACTACAACTGCGCTACAGTTTATTGATTTTAGGTAAGTAGGTAAGCATTTTATTGTAGGCGTTTTTTTGTTTTTTTGTTTTGTTTTTTTATGATAAACCAAACATAACATAACTTACTTGAAGAATGACCTGAAACTTTTTACTAGCTATTGGGCCTAATTGAGAGAAAAGAGACTGGTTTTCTTATATTGTTTTTTTTTTTTATTCATTTAATTTAATCCTTTAAATTAGAGCTTTAAAATTGCCTGTTTCATATGTGATTATGTTTTTATTTACTGTTGTGTTTTTTATGCATTTATTATATTTTCATGTGAACTGTATTGGTGGTTTTCAAGTTCTAGAATGTGACAATGTCATACTCCAAGAATGGGGGCAGTTTTTCTTTTTTAAATAACATTGTACTTTGTCATGAAATATCTAAAATGTTAATGCAGAGATGTTGAACCTGAGCATTTCTATCAGTGTCTAGACACAAGAACTCACTCTATGGCAACAAAAAAAATCTGCATTATAACCATATTAATTTAGCTGCCGTTATCTATATTAAATAAAACTGGTCTATAGAATGTTTTGATGTCATATGAAACCCACCAATACATTTTTGTTCGTATCGAAAAATCTGCAATTAAAATAAAATAAATTAAATAATAAAGACATAATAATAATAATGAAAAACTTTAACCACACAGAAAGCCAATAAAAGGCTGAATGTAAAAAAAAAAAAAAAAAAAACTAGAAAAGCGCAGACCTCCGCCAAGGACTACAGTCCCCCTCATATTAATTGTGTTTTCCATAAATATTTGTCTAGTATCTTTCAATTTGGAATATGAAAGAGGATCCCATTGTCCATCCCTGAGTCAAATTTCATGGGGTTTGGTCAATAATTAACCGAGATATTGAGAAACAAAATTTTTGGCCCCATTTACCACAATGTTAACTAAAATTTCAAAGTGATCCAGAATCCAGGATTTCTTCCGGATCACCCCCAAAATGAAATCAGTTCTTCCTTTTCACATTTCCAACAAATCCTGAAAATTTCATCAAAATCGGTCCATAACTTTTTAAGTTGTGTTGCTAACAGACAAACAAACAAACAAACAAACAAACAGACAAACGCCGGCAAAAACATAACCTCCTTGGCAGAGGTAAAAAAACTGCGCTAATGTTTTTCGGGATGGAGCAGGTGGTTGCTGTAGTACCTCGTGTCCATCAGATGGAGCCATTGAAATAATCACGTGCCGAGTCCGCGCAGTTCCCCGTCGTCTCCGTTGGATGGCGCTCTCCTCCCGCTTCTCACCCTCCCAGCGATGACTCCCACTGGGTCTATGGAATGTTTTGATGTCATATGAAACCCACCAATACATTTTTATTCGTATCGAAAAATCTGCAATTAAAATAAAATAAATTAAATAATAAAGACATAATAATAATAATAATAAATAATAATAATAATAATAATAATAATAATAATAATAATAATAATAATAATAATAATGAAAAACTTTAACCACACAGAAAGCCAATAAAAGGCTGAATGTAAAAAAAAAAAAAAAAAACTGCGCTAATGCTTTTCGGGATGGAGCAGGTGGTTGCTGTAGTACACAGGTGTCAAACATACGGCCCGGGGGCCAGATCCGGCCCTTCAAGATCTTTAATCTGGCCCTCAGGCTGATTTTCTACTAAAATATTTTAATGTAATTATATTTTCTATTAAAATATTGTTAATTTTCTGCAGTGCTTCTCATAGCAGCGTCTCCAGCGTCTCTGTACGTGGCCCCTCCCACCAGAGCAGCACAAATGAAGACTTGTCTCTTTCCAAACGTTCTTAAAGGACGATCGTTTTGACTGTTGACCGTGACACCCTCATCAGAAAAATGTCCAAAATGAGAAAAGTGGAGCCGAGTGCAGGATTTTACAAGAAAAATTGACTTATTCCTATTTACAAACAAGTTAAAGTTAAAACATTGTGTTAAAATTACATTTTTCTTAAATTTTCAGGTTGTTCATAATATTATAATATTTTGTAAAAGAAAAAAAAAAAAAAAAAACTGCGCTAATGCTTTCGGGATGGAGCAGGTGGTTGCTGTAGTACCTCGTGTCCACCAGATGGCGCCGTTGAAATAATCACGTGCCGAGTCCGCGCAGTTCCCCGTCGTCTCCGTTGGATGGCGCTCTCCTCCCGCTTCTCACCCTCTCAGCGATGACTCCCACTGGGTGACTGTGCACTGATCCAGCCCCTTCTCCCTCATATCTGCGCTCAACCAGCCTGGCCACTCTGAATGTAACCAGCAGCTAGCCCACTCCCGCTAACGTGAACATGCTAAGGCTAAGCTAGCTGTCAGCCCACTGGTTCTGCTGCGCTAGCGGATGCACCGGGTCGGATCGCGCTGCTGCTGCTGCCGCCGGCCCTCTTGACATTCCCCCCCTCCGCATTCCCGGACGGATTCGTGTCGACTGACCAGAGTCCGCGAATTCGTGTCCATTCCCGGCCGATCGAAGCTTTCCCCATCCCCGCCAGAGCGAGAGAGAGAGAGCGCGGCGGAGCGACCGGGCGACGTGCGTTAGCCGTTAGCTGGTGAGTTAGCATCGGGCTAGCGGAATCTTAGCCCCCCGAAGACGCCGCTGCCACTCAAGATTCAGGCGATCGCGTTGATGAAGACTCTCTGGATAAGTCATAATAGAGGCATCATTACTATGGCGTTGTGTAAATAAATAATAGTTTAAACGTTAGCTAAAAACAGGCCTCGTTTAATACATAACGCTGTCAGCTAGCATGTCGGATCACCTTTACTACTAGTAGCCACTAATGATAACAGGTTTGCTTATGGCCATCCGTGACGAGGCTTGTCAAACTGCTGATCATCGTTGTATTATTCTTTTTAAACCAAGTGATTACAAATAAACAGCGATTTAATATCCTAATAATTCATATGGTACTGTTGGTTAGCTGACTACTGGCGTGGAGTCGAGTATTTTAGCCTGATTTTAATGTTATTCCATGGTAAAATGTTGTGACTGTTGGCTCAGGAATGCAACTAAGCAAATAGAAGCGACAACTTTGACGTGTGAGATCTGGTAGCCTTAATCTTCGGGTAAATCTTCTTGTTTTTGTTGTTAATTCTAGCTGTCAGATTCAGGGTTGTGGCTGGGAAGCAGAGTTCAAATGAATGGAGCTATTGGATTTGCTTAACTTAAGTAATGTGTGTGTATGTGTGTGTGTATGTGTGTGACTTGGCAGAGTTGAAGAAGTGAAGGACCACACCCAAGGCAAGATGTCCCTGCACCAATTTCTGTTGGAGCCCATCACCTGTCACGCATGGAACCGGGACCGGACGCGTAAGAAAGTTGCATACATTCACATCCAATGGCAAGGTTAAGGAAATAGACTGTAGCTGTGGTATTACTTAATGCTGTAGTCAACTAAAGAATTTCTTAGTAAAGACTAGGCCTTTCACAATAATTCCTAAATTGATTTATTGTTAAATAAATGAAAGTAGCAACTATATATTTTGGGGCTCAGTCTTTATTGTGGGTACATTTTCTTTTCAATAATTTGGATATTTTTGCTATTTTTATGTAAGAACTTAAGATTTGAGCTGTAGAGAGTAGAATAAATAATTTCTGTGGCTAATTATTGATTCATTCTGCAGTGTATTGGTTGCAGTTCAGGCTTTTTAATGATATTGTCTATTAAAAAATATATTTACTGGTATTCTCCTGCTTTGTGTCACTGGCATAATGTATTTTCAATGTAATCAATTATTGTAGTATTTCTCTTTAGAGATGTATTGTGCATCAAAATTTGTTATTGTGACAGGCCTAAATACTATCCAGCCGATCGATTAGTTGACTAAAAAGGGGGAGTGGCAAAAGGGGGGGGGGGGATCTTTCCCATTTAAATCTATTATTGATTTTGTACAACTAGGTGTGCACAAATTAAGATCAAATTGAAATTGGGCATTATAAAACTATCTCATAGATGAATACTGCCCTTCTTGTGCTTGGGCAAAACACTTATCAGATGAGTGGTTCCTTGATGTAAAGTGCTTTGAGTGGCTTTAGCATGTCACCTGGCCTGACTAAAATAATTAGCCATTGAAATAAACTATTAACAAAATTTGATCCCCTAGACTTCATCAACTGATTCATCGACTAAAGGACTGCAACCCTATGTAACATTTTGCCATTACTTTCCGCCACATTCTATTAGGCGCCTGACAAAGAACTGGTTTGTCCTGTTTATTACCTACATCATCATCCATCATTTTTCTTTCTCCTTGTTTGTTTCTTGTATAGAAATTGCCATAAGTCCCAATAATCATGAAGTTCATATCTACAAGAAAAGTGGAAACACGTGGGCCAAGACTCAGGAGCTGAAGGAACACAATGGACACATAACAGGTTCCAATTTTTTTTTTATTGTGAAGCTATGAAATTGTTTTTAAACGGTACATATCAAGGCAGTGTATTGTTTAAGGCTCAATAACAAATACTGCTATTGTGGTTATTGTAGCTGTATTTCTCGCTAAATTATGACATTAAAAGGCACTATTTTCTGATCTGTTATGATGTTGTTAATACATGTAGTTGTTTTGTTTCATTCACATGTTTACCACACAAACTCTGTATATGTAGACTGAGTTCAAACAGAAATCACTCTGTTCCACCTTGTGATGTTATGTGGTAACACAGGAATTGCCATTCTCCACTAGACAAAAGGTGCTTCATGACATCATAAAGTGAAGCAGCATTTTGGGCCATGGAGCTGTCGACTGAGTAATCATGGATTATTAGTCTAACATGTGAATGAAACGAAACATTATGCCATGTTAGAATGTTGTTACCTCACCAAAAACATACCCAATTGTGTGATATAGGATCTTTAAGCATGTCCAGGAGCATTAACATTTGAGAGAAGATATCAGCTGCTAAAATAATACAAACATTATTGTAATTTTTTAGTCAGGTGTTGATTCATGCTGAAAATTAGATGGGAAATTCAAAAAAAAAAAAAAAAAAGAATAGAAAAATGGCTTTGCTCCAAGTTTTAACAATGATTTTATTCTTTCATTACTCAACATTTGCAAACAAGCAAACAATTCAATTTCAACCAGTTTGCATTGAATCGCCCAAATTTATAAATCGATCCTAAAACTAGTATCTGATTTTTTTTATTTTTTTGACAACCCAAGGCTAGAGCAACAATTGTCATCATGAATAAAATGTAATTTCATAGTTCCTATTTCAAATGTATTTTTACAACTACATTTACCATAGTCCATCTTGTTGCAGGCATCGACTGGGCTCCTAAAAGTGACCGCATCGTGACGTGTGGCGCTGACCGTAACGCATACGTGTGGTCGCAGAAGGAGGGCCTATGGAAGCCCACGCTGGTCATTCTCAGGATCAACCGGGCAGCCACCTTTGTCAAGTGGTCCCCCATGGAAAACAAGTTTGCAGTGGGCAGCGGGGCACGCCTCATCTCCGTCTGCTACTTTGAGTCGGAAAATGACTGGTAAGATTTATGTGTGGGCTTATGGAAAAGATATAATCATGTGGTAATGTAATTGGTGATTAAATGAAATGAGATTTGAATATGGAAGATGTTTTCAACTCAGAGTCAGCTGCAGCATTTCCAAATTTCAGTAAAACATCAAAACTGAAGTACTTCCCAGCTGTACAAATTTCTCAGTACCCCTCACTAAATTTCAATATTTCAACTTTAGCCCATGGTTTTGCATATTCCATGTTTCCTCCCTGTACTTGCCTACTCCGACTGCTTTGCATCACGATGTTGTATTTCTCGTACACAAACCATACATTGTTCAGTGGTTAGACAGTTGGAGTTCAGACATTGTAGTTACTGTGTTCTCTGCAGCTGCCAGCTGTTTGCTTCAAGTTTCAGCATGATGTCAGTTTCTATGGTGACAGATCACATAGCATTGTCAAAGTGAAAGTACCTGTCAGACAAGCTCAGGAATTGCTTGTAGCATTACTTACGTAATACTAACTGTCCTTTGCTACGAGTTACAGTATTACTATACTAATGCATTTAATATTGTAAATACTTCAGCAGGACATGCACCAGAATACTAAACAGATTTCAGTTATATTCATTTGTTAAATGTATAGGTGGTCAATTTGAATCTCCTTGTGGCATTTTTCTCTTTTGTGTACTCTGGGAGGGGCACACTTTGCGCTGCTTTCAGCTAATCTCACCTCTTAGTTAAACATAAACTATATGGACGTGGCACTAGAGTTCATTTAAGGCAGGGCTGTTGTATGTGAATTGAATCGTAACTTGTTAAAGCCCTAAATGCAGTCTCTGCACGTAACACTGGCAGTATTATAGATATTTGAGCGCATATGTCCTCCAGGTTTTTATAACCAAGTTCTAAGTGTTCTCATGTGGGATCAGAGCTGTTCTATTCTCACCCTCTCCTCTGTTTGTAGGTGGGTGAGTAAACACATCAAAAAGCCCATCCGCTCCACCATCCTCAGCCTGGACTGGCACCCCAACAATGTCCTGCTGGCAGCCGGCTCCTGTGACTTCAAATGCAGGTAGGCTCTGTGTGCATGCTGCTGGTGTTTTTCTTAGTGCAACTACATCATAGTAACCTTGGCCCCTCCCCCTCTTCACAGGGTGTTCTCGGCCTACATAAAGGAGGTGGAGGAGAAGCCTGGCCCCACGCCCTGGGGCAGTAAGATGCCGTTTGGGGCCGTGTTAGCAGAGTTTGCAGGAGCTGGTTTGTATTTGTCTCACTCAGTATGTTTGCGTGCACAGGGAAATCTGAGTGTGCTAAGCAACCAAACTCAAGTCCTTTTTGCCCCAAAACCTGTCAGACCACTCTTTTCCAGTCTACAGAAGACTGATCAGCTGAGAAGGTGTGAAAGAAGGCTATGAGGCGTTCAAGTAACTTAGCATTAGCACTAAAACTCTGCAGCTATAATTACTCATAAAAACACCTATCCTACATTTAAACATACTTGTATGCATTTATGTCAAGCATCTGGTTACGTCAAGCATTTGATTTTCAGACATGCGTTAGTCACAAGTCACTCACGCTTCACAGTTTCAATTTACGTTGAAGCTCCACTAAGTTTAATTTTCACTTTAACATAGCTGACCAAAACAAAACATGTGCTTGCTGGAGATGCTAGTTTGTCACTGTTGAACTAAAACAAGTGAGTACACGCCTAAACACATGTCTAATATTTGCTTGGCTGTTTCTTACCCCATGCAGTTGAATGCATCCTAATGGAAATTAGGTTGCGCAGTTATTTGCTGCAGGTATCCGAGTATGTATCCTCTTCCCTAGATGTGTTATTGGGATCTTTTGAGATCTGACACCTCAATCATAGCTTCCAGTTGGGATGGACAATATATCAGTTCCAGTATCACTATCAGTCGCTGTTGATACTGAGTCATTGATGGCAGTATCAGCCGATATGGCCATTCAGTGCTGATATTTTCTTGCACTGTCCCTCTGAGTGGTATAGCTGTATTTTTACACTATCATGTAACCGTTCTGGATTATAAAAGCTACTTATTGTTATTGGTTATTGCCACAGTTGCAGGCCAGATATTGGGATTGGCTCAAAAAAAATCTATATCAGCCCATCCCTAGCTCCTGGGTTTATATGCATTTTGATAAACAAAACAACTCCAGTTAACCGGTTTTCCTTAACGTGCATGTCAACGTACTGTGTGGTGGAGAGGACCTGCCTGTGCACGTGCTTGTGACTAAACTCTAATGTGTTTGTGTACTTTCAGGTGGAGGGGGCTGGGTCCACTCTGTCTCCTTCTCAGCCTCTGGAAACCGCCTGGCCTGGGTCAGCCACGACAGCACTGTCAATGTGGTGGAGAGCTCCAAGACTGCCAGGTACACCCACACATTCAGGAGAGGGAATATCATAGAAAAATCTGAATACTCGGATAACACCACACTGTAGAATAGTTAAGAGTTAAGTTATATTACAGAATTTATAAAATAAGTTCTTCCAATACAGCACCTGTAAATTATTTAGTATTTTAACTAAGGCTGCAACTAACGATTATTTTTGTAGTTTTTTAAGTTCTTTAAAGTCCTGTATTACACACAATGGATTCTTGTGTGCTTTTAGCCATGTTGAAATGTTATTACCTTCTCAAAAACATATCTGGAGTTGTTTTGTTTAATTCACAGGTTAGGCTACATCTCCAAAGCTCAAAATGCTGTTATGAAGCAGTAGTTTTCAAGTTAATAGCTACCTTTTACTGTTTGTTCAGTAGGGATTGACAATTCCAGGGCTGACATCATCCACATGATTCTAGTGAAGGTGTATGGTGCTTAAAAACACATTTGAGCACATCCTGTTTTACCACATGACATCACCAAGTGTAACTGAGTGTTTCTGTTTAAGAGAAGAACAGGGTTTGTGTGTTAAACATGTGAATGAAACCAAACACAACTCTGGGTATGTTTGTGATAAGGAAACAACATAACATGGATCTGAAAATGGTGTAATAACAATGCCATGGTCTTTGTCATGACCATTTATCATTTGTCATTCACCTTTATGTATGTGTTTAAAGCCTGTGTAGTCCTGTATAGTTTTTATGGTAGATAGATTGCTGCAGCCCCAATTTTAACAGTTTAAATGTGTGTTCCAGTCCATCGCAGTTGAAGACAGAGTTCCTCCCTCTCCTCAGCGTCATCTTCGTGTCTGAGAACAGTATAGTAGCTGCGGTAAGACCAGACCACCTCCTCTTGCATTGTACTCTCGATAAGAAGAGTGTGTTGACAGTGTTTGTTGCACTAGGGCCACGACTGCTGCCCCATGCTGTTCCGCGTGGATGATGGAGGCGCCCTCACGTTTGTGTCCAAACTGGATCTGCCCAAGCAGAGCATCCAGAGGAACATCTCAGCCATGGAGCGCTTCAGGAACATGGACAAGAGAGCCACCACCGAGGACCGCAACACTGCCCTGGACACACTGCACCAGAACAGCATCACGTAAGCCTCACAACTACATAAAAAGAAACAACAGAAAATAATAATAACTAGAAAAGCACTCAGAGAGCGCAGACCTCCGCCAAGGACTACCCCCATTTTTTATATAAATTGCGATAAAATCAGTCTTCTGGATCAGATCCGGATCAGCCTTTGGAATATGAAAGAGGATCCCATTGTCCATCCCTGAGTCAAATTTCATGCTGTTTGCTCAATAATTAACCAAGATATTGAGAAACAAAATTTTTGGCCTCATTTACCACAATGTTAACTAAAATTTCAAAGTGATCCAGAATCCAGGATTTCTTCCGGATCACCCCCAAAATGAAAATCAGTTCTTCCTTTTCACATTTCCAACAAATCCTGAAAATTTCATCAAAATCGGTCCATAACTTTTTGAGTTATGTTGCTAACAGACAAACAAACAAACAAACAAACAAACAAACAGACAAACGCCGGCAAAAACATAACCTCCTTGGCGGAGGTAATAAAGACCAATTTAAATAATATTTTTTAAAAAAATAAATAAATAAAAAAATTGGAAAGAGGGATGCCATCTGCTGGTCTCTGTGGAGTACTGTTGAAGTTAACTAAAGAAATTCTTGAATAAAGGCATGTCCCACTGATCAATTAGTCACATAAAAGAAAGGCATGGCAAAAGCTCTCAAATCTATTATGTATCTCTATGTATCTGATCCAAACTGCACACAACTATTTATGCAGGAGAAAATACAGTCTGTATTTATAAAGAAAACTTTAAATCTGAATCTTTTGGTTTTATTCAGTTGCAGATGTTTTAATTCTACAAAAATTAATAATAAAAATCATGTATTCTTACTGAGAATGGGGTCTCTTCTCCACAGAACGGCACATTTAATATATATTTGGTCTATTTACTTGCTGTATGTGCTTTCTACACCATTTAAATGTTCTAAGTTTGTTCTAAACATGACAGCTCTTGTGGCATTCTAGAGATCTTCATGTCCCTGGTTCTTATTTTCTTTGGATATTTGAATGTTCCTGTTGTTACATAGGTGTCCACAGACTGGGGCTGTACAGCTGCCAGTCAGTTTGCCCACACAACACAGTGGCTGACACATTTCCATTGCAGTGCTGACTATTATGAGATGTGGAAAGCATTTAGCAAAAGATATAGCAAAAAAATTTACAGTAATGTACAAGATCACATCAACACCAATATATATATTTAGCAGTCAATGGTGTGACAGCATCACAACTGTTCTGTCCTCTACCACTACACAGGACTGTGAATGGACACAGACATTTTTAGTGTAGAACACTGTGTCACGCCAGCTTTGAATGAGAGCAGAGAATCAAACCTAGATGTGCCCCATGAGGTGTGTCCCCTTTTAACAGCTGACACTCTGGTCATAACAAACAGAGGAGTTTTATAATGTTCCGTTCCCCTAGTACTACACAGGAACACGACACTGTTGCTGACTAAATGTTTTTGTTTTGACTGTCCACAGCCAAGTGTCTATCTATGAGGGAGACAAAAGGGATTGTCGCAAGTTCTGCACCACAGGCATCGATGGAGCTATGACTATTTGGGACTTTAAAGTACGTGCTTTAATTCAACTTGAGCTTTATGCCGGTGTTAATTTAGAAAAAAATATGAACTGAATCATTAGATTTTGTCCTAGGAAAAGTTTATTAAAATCAGGATGCACTGATCCAACTTTTTCAGTTTCGATTCCAATACGAAAGCTTCCAATATCTGCAGATTCCTGATGTCAACTGATTCCAGAGCAGAGACCGAAAACAACATTTATTTCCTTAAAAGAAAAAGAAAAACAGAAAACCGATGCAAATGTATTATGTAGCTGTTATTTATCTCTCAAGTAACAACAGAACAGCTTTGTATATATGCCCAAACTGGATACTGGCTGAACCGATATATTTCTAAGCCAATACCCAACCAGTTTTTCTGTATTGGCGTTGATATCCATTATGGATATCAGTCTTGGATCTGTGCATTCCTAATTAAAAGAAACCAAAGTAAAAAGTAAGATTCAAAATATTAATGCCGCCTTTGTAATAATTGAGTCTGATACATGTATTCAAACTTAATAATTTATTTATTTACTTAATTATGGAAATTGATTTTGATGACTGACTAAGGTGGTGTCCACACTTCCCATGGTTTTGGCCCAGTTTAGTCCCAGTGTTGATGGGGTGGGTGTGTACAACGCAGCCTTACTTTCAACAGGGAGCTACATCATGACTAAAACATGACGAAAATGATAGGATTTTTAACTTGAAGAGGGTGTAATATGCAATCTACCATGTAATAATGTTGTTCCCTCATCAAAAACATGCCTGAAGAGGTTTTAGATGTCATCCATTAATGTTTCTGTAATTTAGAGATCTTACCCCAGGCCCTGTTTGAACTCTCCTTACGATTAGTTTTAAGATTCTGTCCAATGCTCAACCCACAAGCCAAAGCAATACAGTGCAAAACAATACACTACAACTTCACAAACCCAATGTGATGTGCAGTAGTTTAATTAGCCGAATGAACGCCGATTGTAATGCACTGAAGAGGCTTAGCATGGAGGGCAATACCCCAAAGAAGTAAAATATCACCCTCTTTTAACAAAAAAAACACTACAAAATTACAAGCATTTCTTCTTTTTTACCCATATAAACTAAATAATGTGTTTCTCCTTTGCAGAGTCTAGAAGCGTCAATCCAGGGCCTGCGCATCATGTGAAGAAGAGGACGAATGAAACACTAGACGCTGCACCTCCTCCTCCTCTCCTCCTCCCTCTATCCCTCCATCCCTCCCTCCCTCCAGCTAGTAACACACACACCACTATCCAGAAATCAAAATGTCCGCTCAAGCACTGAACGCAACACCACGCACTCCTAGAACCTGCAATATTAAGGCTTGTTTCGATAGCAAATTAGAAAAAAGAAATATTGACGCAAAAAGTGTTAAAGATTTTATGCTTTAAAATTGTATAAAAATTCCGATATATTTTCTAATTCAGTTTATAATAAAGTTTAAATTTTCTCTCCATCCTCCTGTTCAAGAAAATTACACAATGAGCAAATATTAATGGATGCAACTTTACAACTTTGCTGGGGCGTAGTCTGCAGTACTGGAATGATCCACGGTATGGTATTACACGTATCTATGTAGCCTTTTTTCAGTACAGCTATGGACTTTTTATTTCACTATTTTGTGCGTAAATCTATTCCTATTCCTAAAATGAAACCGCTCCAAATTAGCCTCGATGAGCTTCATTTGACTGGAGTTGGACGCTATGGGTGACGTCACACTCGTTTAGTTCACTTCTTGTCGAAGTTTAATGCCATACTATGGAAAATTCCAGGCCAAGCAATAACATCTCCATGGAGACGAGCATATAGCAGACCTTCCACCAGAAGTTGTATAGTGAGCTTTAAATACAAAAATGTTTCTGGTTAAATTGATATGTTTTGTGGCAGGCCTATCTAATCACAGACACTTCACATTACCACAATCACCCAACTGACGTGTGAATTCACTTTTTGTTTTGTTTAATTTTATATTATTAATATTTTAAATGAAGGCTAACTGAAGTGGGGCGGTCCTATTAAAACGTGATGTGATTTGCTTTTTTTAAATATCCGCTAACCTCCTATACCAAAACACTAAAGGAGAGTTTTAATCCCCTCAAAAAATCTCCATTCCACCCTCTGGACAAAACCACACGCCAACTCTGAGCAGAAAAAGTAATTATTATTAAAGTGGAAATTATAAGAATTGATATAGACGTATTCAGAGTTGGCATCTGGTTTTGGTCGCAGCGGTGGAGTGGGTATGCAGCGGTCTGAATGATGGCGGAACTGATGGAGTCGCTTATAGGCTCCGGAGATGCTACACTAAAAGTAGAACTACAGAAATGGAGGATTTCTATGTAACTGACCATGAGGTAGACGTGAATAAAGACAAATACATTTACAGTACACTATCCAAGCGCCTGCTCTCTTTCTTTGGGGGGATGTTATGTATTTCCTGTGTGATTTTTTTATTTTTTTTTTAAAGGGATTTCTGGTTTGTTATAATGTTTCCTCATCACAAACAGAGCTGGAGTTGTGTTTTGTTCCATTCACACATGTTTAACACAAATCCTGCATATTTAGACTGAGTTCTTCTATCAAATGGAAAACACTTCCATTTTGTGATGTCACATGGAAATACAGGAAGCGCTCCACTGTTTTTAAATACTCCGGGTATGTTAGTGACGTGGGAATGGTATAACTAGGGGTGTAACGATATCCAAGTCTAACGATACGATATTGTCACAGTATGAACCTCACGGTACGATATTTATTCATGATATTACGATATTATATATAATAACAAGACTGACATTATAAAATACTTTGACCAGTCAGTTGGTACAAAATTTATTGTCATATTCTAGGGATGTAACAATATCCTAATCTCACGGTACGATATTATCACGATATGCATCTCAGGGTACGATATTTGTTGCGATATTTTGAAGAGGCTAAAAAATTAAAGATGGGACACTTTTTTTGCTTTTAAAATACCTTGACAAGATTTTGGTGTGAATTATTACTGTCATAATCCCAAGAATTCAAGTAAAACACATATTTCTTCATGTCTGAACTGAAATGAACCATGGGATATGTAGTTCTCTGTTTATAAGATGTTGCTACTAGGGTAGTGTAGATACCCACGTCTCACGATACGATATCCTCACGGTATGAACCTCATGGTACAATATATATTGCAATATCATGGGAAAGCTCACGATAATGGTGGGGAGGCTCACGATTAGGGATGTAACAATATCCAAATCTCTCAGTACGATATTTTCACGATATACATCGCGCAGTACGATATTTATTGCGATATTTTGTGGAGGCTAAACAGCTAAAACTGTTAATACGCTACGTGTTCCTCTTAAAATGCCTTGACAAGACTTAATCCAAAGAACTAAGGTATAAAAGTTCTTAGAACTGTTATTTCTTCTTGTAGTCCACACTGAAATGGAGCAAAGGATCATGGTCTATGTAGCTTTGTCTCTTTTCACTCATCGCTGCACCATAACTCTTAATTTAAGCAAAGACACTTGTAATTCAATATATTGTGATGGTCCACGATATTATTGTGAGAACTTTGACGATACAATATCACAATATTTCGGTTATTGTTACACCCCTAGTTGCTACTATAACACGAGCCATTTATGCAAAGAAACTTGTGATTCGGTATATTGTGACATTATTGTTTGTTACATCCCTAGTTATAACATGATCACAAACAGTCTCAAAAAATAAATTTTGTGTAAGATGTCAGCTTTTCAATTTTGGGAAATTTTATGTGATTAAAATGGGTAACTTCTTTGCAATGTTTATCATAAACTATTAATATTAACGCACCTCCAACACCATCTACAGGTCATCTAAGGAATAACAATCTTGTAAAAGGTGTATATACAGTAAAAAGCAGGGGTCTCCAACCTTTTTCCTCTGGTGAGCTACCCTTACAAGATGAAAATGCCGGAGAGTTATACATTTAGCAGTTGCAAGAACTTGAGTACCAGATTTTTTGGACAATAAACGCACTGAAAATCCTTTAATTTTCTTAAAAATCAACAGTGTGCCTTATAATGAGGTGTGACTTATGTCTTAATTCTGGTTGTACTTACTGACCTCAAACCAGTTTTATGTGGTACATGGCGCTCAAAAATGTCAAAATGTTTTAGTTCGACTTTGGTAAGCTATGAAAGCGCACTGCTTGATGGATTGTCAGAGTATATTTCTGTAAAACATAAACAAATGTGCACAAGGCTGCATTAAACACATTGTTACTCAATGTATATTTGAGTCATCCTCGTAGAAAATAAACAGTCATAGTCACATTCATAATCCACATTCACCAAGACAGGGAGGCAACGCCCGGCAAATTACTCCACGATCTGCCAATGAATCGTGGATGCCCAGGCTAAGGATCGGTCTCAAGTGTCGTCCATTTGTTTCACTTGATATGCCTTATAATCATTATTATAATTATATAATAATGTATGAAAATGGATGAGAGAATTCAACATTATTGATATTGTGCCTTATAATCTGGTGCAATTTACAGTTTGAAAAGTACAGTAAGAGCATTAGATGGGGCACAGTTGCCTATAAAACATTTACACAACTATTATATGTATTATCATACAAAGATATGCATCAGAATGATACATTTACAGTGGTAACAGGCATTTAATCAAATAAAATTTTAGTTATTCAATGCAATACATTTGATTCAAAAATCCCTTGGCGAGCTACTTGGAAGGGGTTGGAGGGCTACAGGTTGGAGACTTCTGGCATAAAGATTGTAAAGTTGCACCAAAACTTGTACTTAACTAAACTAACCTGTAATACGTGAAATGTAGTAAAATATTAAAATCACAACTAAACCAGGGATGCCATTAGGTGCCGTAATATACTAAGGACTCATCACATCATAAAGTCCTTTTAGGGTTATTTATAAACTGGTTTTATTCATAGGATCTGGCAACCCAAGAGTTCATTCTAGTTGTCTGATTTTATAATAGGGTTGAGATAATATAAACTACTTTGTGTATGGTCATTTTTAAAGTCATCAACATCTGTAAAATGTGTAATAAATAGATGAAAATGTAAACCACAAACTTTAAAGTATAGCATCGGCAAGAATCAAGTAATCAAGAAGACATTCTGATTTGCAAGTTGCTACTCTTGGGTGTTTTATTATATGTTTTTCTGAAAAATATCACTTTATACTTTTTATTTTGAGGGTCCATATTACGCTACTCTCTGATCTGTGTTGTGTCCTCATCAACAGACCTGGAGTTGTGTTTTGTTTCATTCACACATGTCACACACTTTAAACTCCATACACCTTCAATAGAATCATTTGGATAGTTGCAGCCTAGGGATTGCTGATCTCTACTGAACTAAAGGTAAAAAGATTTTAACTTGAAAACTGCAGCTCAGTGACATCACAAGGTGGAACAGAGCATTTTGAGCTTTGGAGATGTAGACATACTAATAATAAAGGATTACTCAAACATGTGAATGAAGCAAAACTCAAGTCCAGGTCTGTTTTTGAGGATGTAACAGCAGTATAACATGGTTTAAAGCTCACAGGAGTCAATTTTGTGTAATCTAGGACCTTTAAAGTATAAATAGCTGTTGCCTATGGTTACGAGTTTACCAGTGTATTCTGTGGCTCTTCCTCCTGTCTGTCCCCTCCCCTAGCCCCCCTCCCCTCTCCCTCCTCTCTTCAGACCTCCCTCTTTTGCCTTTGCTACTTCCTAGTTTTTCTTCCCTCCATTTTTAGTTCACCCCTCTTTTTTGTAGTTTCCCTCTTCAAATACACACAATTTCTTTGCCAATTCTTCTCTCTTCGTCTCTCTCCATTTCTCTCCCTCCTTTCTCTTCATACCTCTCTCTTTTGAACCTACATTTTCTTCCCTCCCTTTTTTCGTTTACCCCTCTTTTTTATAGTTTCACTCTATTTTCTGTTCCCTCTTCTCTCTCTTTCTCCCTCCTCTATCTCTCTTATCTCTTTCTCTTTGTTCTTTGCTCCCCCTCTTTCTGTCTCCTCTCTCTCTCTCTCTCTCTTTCTCTCTCTCTGACCCTCCCCTCTCCTGACTACCCTCCTCTCTCATGAGTACCCTCCTCTCTCCAACCCTTTTCTCTTTCACTCTGAAGTTGGCGTTCGTGTTGACTGGCCAGAGTCCGCGAGCTCTCTTTGACAACCCAGTTTTCCCCTCTTTTTTGTCATCCAATCGTTTTTCTGCACTCCTCCATTCTCCGGGCTAGGGTGAGTCGCCTTGCAAAAATGTTGCCAAGTTGTTGAAAAGTAGACTGTGAAATGTAGTTAGGAAATAGAACTTCTTAGAGTAGTTTTAAGCAGGTATCTTTAACTCATAAATTGAGTTTTAACTTGCTTTTTTGCAGTTCCACCAATGGTCTTAGAAATCTGGCATTAAGTAAAGTTTGCAAGATAACTTTATCCATACTCAAATTCAGGTAACCTACTTATAGCATGTAGGGGAAGGGAATAGAAAAGTTATGTTCCAAGCAAGAATACTAAGCTTAAAACTTTATATCAAAGTTGATATCAAAGTATTGTGAGAAATTTTGTAGCTTTACATAGACCAAAAACTTCATAATGTGTAGGACGCTTCAAAGCAACCATTCAGAGTTTTTAGATACAAAGATTTTAGTGTACTTCCTGGCTTAAACTACAATTTTGCTAACTTCTGCTCTTTTCGTCTTGACAGTTATCTTTCCGCACACGACTTCCTGGTTGTATTCCTCGCTCTGATTGGCCATGTCCTACCACAGCTTCCTCCTGGAACCAATCAGCTGCCACGCCTGGAACAAAGACCGGACCCGTGAGTATGCACATCTGTCACTGTTTAGTTGATCAGTGTTTTAATATGTTGTCTAAATTTAGGTGCAAAACAAGAGCATAACTCACTCTCACGAATGCAAAGCTCAGCTGGTGCTTGAACGCTGAAGAATTTACATTTTTGGCATTGAATCACAAGCTGCTGAAAACTATTTTATTAATTTAGCCTTCACTCAATGTTGTAAACATGCCTGATAGAAGGAAATGTGGTTTAGGGTTGTGAAAAGTGTCAAAAATCAGAGTCTCATTTGAGCAGGTATTGATACTAAAGAAGTGACATTCACAGGACAGAAATGAACCTTTTCTGAATCACTTTAGAATGATGTTGAGCTGTATCAGAACAAGTATAAGAGCACGTTCAGGGCAGCTGCGGGGTCTTAAAAGTCTTAAAAGATCTTAAATTTCATGTTCCAAAATGAAGTCCTTAAAAAATCTGAAATTATGTTGTCCAAGTCTTAATTTTTTCACAAAGGTCTTAAATTTCATTAACCTATTTTTTTTTGTATACTCAACCGGGCTGCAGTGTAATATTAAACGGAGGGA